TTCTACGTCACCGCCTGTTTAGCTCCGCCCACTGATTCGCGCATGTAGTGTTTACGAGAGAGGCGAAGGCAGGTCTATGCAGAAACCAAACGATAAAGATGACTCCGAAGACAACGAGACGCTGTTCAGTGCCAAGATGTAGAAAAACAGTGTTTGCGTTTCCTTCCTTCTGACCCAGCGTTAGGAAAGAGTGAATTAACTTTATTTTTAATGAAGATCCAGACCGCGTCAGTAAGAACTCAGTCCTTTGTTCATTTAATTTTACCGCGGATTCGTTTACAAACAAGCCACAATTCGACACAGGATTTTCAAAAAGATTGAAACTAAAAGACGATGCTGTGTGACTATATTGGATCCGACAGTAATGAGTAACTGTTTTCATTATGTGCTCACTATTGCTTTGTCTGTTAAACAGATCGTTTGATATGAGTATTTATGCATTTTTGACCTATCTATGAGCATCCATCTGTGAGGAATATAGGCTGTCAAACATACACAACTATTAGCCAATCACAGCAGTGGGCGTTTACTTCTGAGTTTACAATCCGCTAGGCCTATTCAAACAGAGCGTTCTGATGAGGGGGGTCAAAAACAGCACAGAAAAGCCTATTACTCCTAAATTATGTTTTTCGATGTAAAAATCTTGATAACATAAGTTGACCTCAGAAAACAGTACAAAATAAAAAACAGAGGCAGTTCATGACACCTTTAATGTCACGATCACATTCAAGGTTCACAGATGTTGGTTAATGGTTACTTGACATTTTTTATCGGTTTTTTTTATTGTTTTTATTTTTAAATGATTTTGTATCATTTTTGATTTTTCAATATATTCATATAATACATTTGTATATATATTTTATATAATACAAAATATATTTATATATTTTATATTAAATATAGTAATATATTTTCAATATTTTATGTCTGTGTGTGCATGTCGTGTGTGTGTGTGTATATATATATATAAATTTGAATATTATAAAATAATTTCAAATTATACATAAGCCATGTGTACATGCAGCTCTATAATATATATATATATATATATAAAAAAAATTTTGTTTTATATTTTATATTAAGCATATGTGCATCTCTCTCTCTGTATATATAATTTATATAGATTGTATGTAATAAAAATAAAATACAGCTTGTGTCTTCTCCAGATGTTAACTGATGGACTGGAGTGCTGTGGATTATTGTGATGTTTTTATCAGCTCTCATTCTGACGGCACCCATTCACTGCAGAGCATCCATTGCTGAGACACTGATGCAATGTTACATTTCTACAAACCTGATGAAGAAACAAACTCATCTACATCTCAGATGGACTGAGGAAGAGTAAATCAAGCACACATTTACCTCTGTGGTCCGTCTTCTTCATAGCATTGAGCTTCTGGATGTTTTGGGGGTCTTGGAGCCACAGATGCATCCGAATGAAGTTCTCCTTTCCCTTCAGACTGAGTTTAGTCCAGGGTTTGGGGTGCGACAGCAGTTCAGACACGGAGCTTTGTGTTAAACCCAAAACCTCTTCACCAAACACGCGCTGACCTGCCAGAACAACAACAATCAGGAACAGCACTACTACATAGAAATACATTCAGATTATACATTAAATGTAAATGTACAACTTTTGGTACATTTCATGATAATTATATTTTTTTACAATTTTCTTTAGAAATATGACATTATAAATATAAAAATATCTCGTGATGTAAAAATTAGATTTCAACTTCATCAGTCACCAAATGAGACTTTATTAGCAAACTTTCATATAATTCTTTACCATTTAGTCTCCAAACCAAACTGAATATTTGTAAACTTGCATAAGTAGTTATCAAACAAATATACAACCAACAATTTACTTTCTTTAAATTAAATTATCTTTTTAGTTTTTAAACATTAAATTAACAACAAAAAATATGAAAAAAATGATAAAGTACTGAAATTATAAATCAAATGTAAATGTACAATTTTTGGTACATTACATACCCATTTATGATAATTATATAATTGACTGTTTTCTTTAAATCATATCATTAATGAAAGCATTTAAACATTTTAAATTAGCCTTTATTTATTTATTTTAATTTTAATTTTAGTAATTTTTTTGTAATTTAGTTATTTTTTAAGAATTTAAAATATTTATAAATATATATATATATATTTTTTGTTTTTTTTAGCTGCCAGACAACATTTCTCATTTTCATTTAGTTGAACTAAAATAACTAAAATAAAAATGATATGAAATAAATTAGACATTTAAAAAAAATACGAAAACACAGCAATATTATTAGAATTTAAAAATTACAATTAAAACTGGATATATATATATATAAAATTAAAATGATAAAAGTATCTAAATCATACTCAAATAATAAAGTATGATTTAATAATAAAATTTTATTTTTGTTTAAGGCTTAAGTTTGTTTTTCCATCTAATATTTATATTTTATGTTATGTTTATTACTGAATTAAATAATTATGAAAACAAACTGAATTTTAATTGAAAAAAATGTTCAGTTAATTTGAACAAATTTTAGTTAACGGTAAGTTGTAACAATAAATGCTTCTGGTCTGTAGATGTTGCTCATATGCCTCTGTGGGATTTGTTCTCCTGTTTTCTGCCCCAGCAGGTGAAAATGATGCATTGACTCTGATTTCTGTTCATCGTTTGCTTTAAATGCAGTGAACACAAACCTATGTTGTTGACGGTGAGAGTTTCTTTGACTCTCTGCGTGATGCTGAACGTGTCCAGATGCAGAGACTGAAGCTCACAGCTGCTGCTGATGGGACAGGAGCGAGGTCTCTGACGCGTCTCCATCTTAAACCCCTGCGCTGTCTGACCCGGATCCGCTGGAAGCGTCTGAAACGAGCGGCTCACAGAGGACGGAGAAACTGAGGGCTCAGCATCTTCATTTATTTCACATTTGACCTTCTGGATGATGCTTTGGACAAAATCAGCCAGGGACTGATCGCTGGGCTCCAGTGTCCCATAATCCTCCTCTTCCTGCTGGACTGGTGCGTCGTTCATCGCAGGCGTCTGCGTCTGCATCTCGTGTTTGGCCTGCTGCAGGATGCTCCTGATGATGTTGTGTGATTCGTCTCCACCGCGCTGACATCTGCTGCCTTCATCTTCATCATCATCATCATCATCCAGCACTGAAACACACCACAGACACCAAAGAATGAATCTCAGGTGATCTTCAGATTTAGTTAGCATCGCACATTTCGAATTCACTGCATTTGCTCAATATATTTTTTATGTTTTTACGTACTGTAGCTTTAATTTATTTTTATTTGTTTAGTTTGAGTGATTTTATTATTTCAACTCATAATTCATACCAACTTCAACTCATTTCAGTTAGTTACCAACATTTCTAATATATACAGTATATTTATAAAACCATGATTAGAAATGTTGGTAACTAACTGAAATGAGTTGAAGTTGAAATAATAAAATTACTCAAACTAAACAAAGAAAAAATTGGAGATGCTGCAAATAGCTGAAACAAAATAAGTAAAGTTTAAAAATTTTTATTTAAATTTCAGGTAATGTTTATTTCTTTTTTTTAATAGTTCCAAGTTATTTTTATTTCCATTTTAGTTTAGGTAATTTTAGTACTTCTACTTAAACCTATTTATTTTAATTAGTTGCCAAGATAACATTTCTAAATATGTTATTATCGTTATTATCGTTAACTAAAAATAAATAAATGTTAACTGAAAAAAATCTAAACAACGTCATATAGTTTATTCATTTTTATTTTTATTTCAGTTTTAGTTATTTAGTATGTTTTTTTATTTAAGAAAAATTTTTTTCTTAATTTTCTTTATTTCAGTTAATGCTTATTTCAATTTAAAATTATTTTCTACATTACATTTATTGTTATTGCCATGCTAGTTTAAGTAATACTTTTAGCACTTCAAATGAAACTTATTTATTGCAGTTTTAGTTAGCAAGGAAACATTTTTAATCAGGGTTATTTTAGTTATTAAAAAATCTTACTTGCAATAAATGGTAACAGAAATAAAATTAAATATAAAAATCAAACTTATTTTTTTTCAGATAGTTGCCAAGGCAACGCTTCTTATTATCATCTAGTTTAACTTGATGCACTAAAACAACTGAAACTAAACCTCATATATTAATGAACCTCACTTAATCAAAGTTTTGAATTCACTAAATTTGCTCAAATAGACACAAATATTGATTTACATGACTGTTTAAGAGGTCTTTAGAAATCACACAAATCAGAATGGAACTTATAATATTCCATCATGCAAAAGCATATTTAAAAAAATTAAAAACATAATTGCATTAACCTTATTTAAATCCCAAATGTTGATGTGATAACTCTCTATAAATTATTTACAAAGAATACTAAATTGTTTTAAAAGTGAGATCCGAGATATGAGGCTGCACTGACTCTCCAGACGGCTCTGATCCAGAATGTTCCTGATCACGTCATCTGGGCTCCTGTCTGGAGGACCAACCCACGGGACGAAGACGCCCAGAAACACAGAAACAAGACCCAGACACACACAATCTTATTTAGACAAGCAATATTTACTGTCAAACAAAGCTAATTCTGCTAGCTGACAAGACTGACAATGACAATTTGGTTTAACTTGAAGTAAAATAAAATTAAACTATATAGACATGTTTAAAAAAACTAAAAATTAATGTTAAAAGCAACAAAATTAGTAAAATTTTAAAATGAATGCATCCATGCATCCATTTATCCATCCATCCATCCATCCATCCATCGATTCATCCATTCATCCTTCCATCCATCTCGCCATCCATGCATCCATCTCCAGCCATGCATCCATCCATCCTTCGATTCATCCATCCATCCATCGATTCATCCATTCATCCTTCCATCCATCTCGCCATCCATGCATCCATCTCCAGCCATGCATCCATCCATCCTTCGATTCATCCATCCATCCATCGATTCATCCATTCATCCTTCCATCCATCTCGCCATCCATGCATCCATCTCCAGCCATGCATCCATCCATCCTTCGATTCATCCATCCATCCATCGATTCATCCATTCATCCTTCCATCCATCTCTCCATGCATTCATCCATTCATCCTTCCATCCATCTCGCCAACCATGCATCCATCCATTCATCCATTCATCCATCCATCCATGCATTCATCCTTCCATCCATCCATCCATCCATCCATCCTTCGATTCATCCATTCATCCATCCATCCATCCTTCCATCCATCTCTCCACCCATCCATTCATCCATGCATTCATCCATCCAATTCATCCATGCATTCATCCATTCATCCATGCATTCATCCTTCCATGCATCCATCCATGCATTCATCCATCCATCCATCCATCCATCCATCCTTCCATCCATCCATCCTTCCATCCATCCATCCATCCATGCATTCATCCATTCATCCATCCGTTTTATCCATCCATTCATCCTTCCATCGACCATCTCGCCATCCATGCATCCATCCATCCATGCATCCATCTCCATCCATGCATCCATCCATCCATCCATCCTTCCATCCATCTCTCCATGCATTCATCCATTCATCCTTCCATCCATCTCGCCAACCATGCATCCATCCATTCATCCATTCATCCATCCATCCATGCATTCATCCTTCCATCCATCCATCCATCCATCCATCCATCCTTCGATTCATCCATTCATCCATCCATCCATCCTTCCATCCATCTCTCCACCCATCCATTCATCCATGCATTCATCCATCCAATTCATCCATCCAATTCATCCATGCATTCATCCATGCATTCATCCTTCCATGCATCCATCCATGCATTCATCCATCCATCCATCCATCCATCCTTCCATCCATCCATCCATCCATGCATTCATCCATTCATCCATCCGATTTATCCATGCATTCATCCTTCCATCGATCCATGCATCCATCCATCCTTCGATTCATTCATCCATCCATCCATCCATCAATTTATCCATCCATTCATCCATCCATCCATCTATTTATCCATCCATCTATCCATTCATCCATCCATCTATCCATTTATCCATGCATCCATCCATGCATCCTCTCACCTCTCAGTCTCTCCTGGATGACGCTGAGCATTTGGATGCTGTGCTCATTGGACAGGAAGTGCTTCATTCTCAGGAAGGGTTCTCTTCCTCTGCTGGTCAGTTTGCTCCAGGGTTTGGGTCGGGCCAGTATATCGCTGACGGTTCCCTGAGAGAGACCGAGCACATAGTGACCAAACACCCGCTGGCCGATGTTCAGCCGCTGAAGAGCCTCCTTGACCTGCTGAGCTAATCGAGCCGTGTCAAACTCCTGCTCATCATCACCAGAGTCTGTCTCCTCTTTAATGAAGCTCTGGACACTCAGAGATGATGAAGATGATGCTGGTGACCCAGAGATGAAAGAGGAAGATTCATTCAGGGCTTCTTCTTTCCCAGTGGAGTGATGAAACTCTGGCGTTTCTTTCTGGATCACAGGATCTGTCAATGAGCAAAGGTATAACACATCAGAATATAACAGCATTGCTAACACATACTTTACAGTTTTTATAAAGCAAATTAAGTTTTTTTATGATTTATTTTTTTATTATCTCTTTCTATGTGAAGTAGACTGTAGTATAGATTTTTTTTTTGTTGTTGGCCGGAATAGACTGTTTAGTTTAAAGTTGTCACATTATACAGGCTTTCTCAAACTCGGGTTTGTGAGTTGCCGAAAATAAAAAAGTAAATAATTAAATAAGTAAATAATGAAATATTTTATTTGAAGTAAATTTAAATGTGCACAAATGATTTTGAACAAAAAAAAATTCAAAATAAAATACAAAAAAATCTTATATGTATTATTTGAAAATTTAAAATCGGACTAATTTAAAAATAAAAAGTACTAAAAATAAAACTGTTTAATTTTAAAATATATAAAAATAATGTTTTATTTTAAATAATTTAGAAGAAAGAATTTTAAAATAAATTTTTAAAAAATTCAAATAAATAACTAAAATAAAAACAAAAACACTAAAAAGCTGAAATATTTGATTTGACTAATTAATATGAGAATAATTAAAAAATAAAAACTATTGAAAATAAAACTTACTAAAAAAGCTGAGATTATATTTGAGCATTTTAAATTAAAATACATTTTTAAATGAAACAAATTAAGAAATCTCTTACTAAAAATAACCTCTAATTCAAATAAATAATTTACAAATAAAAGAAAATCAAAATAAAACGTCTAAATATTTAAGGTGAAATGAGAATAAACCATTTCAAAATCAAAATTGAACACTAATAAAGCGTAAATATTTTATTTATTTACCCGCATGCCATGTGACCATTAACTGATATCAGAGAACCGTGAACATGTGAATGTGTTATTTAAATTATTGATATATTAACTTAATCTCGGAGTTTGGCTGACAAAAACATTTGTGAAGTGGATAAAACCCTCACCGTTATCAACAGAGACATCTGACGGAGGAGAAAACACCTGAGAGAGAATAAAACACAGAGTTAAATAACTAATGTGAGTTTAAGACAATCATTCTTCACCAGTAGGTGGCGCTGCCAGCAAACCACCCGAACATAGTATATAAGAAAAAAAGTGAAAAGTGTTGCCTTGTCCAAATACCCACACTTGTGGTCTTTGCACTTGACCACTTGACCACTTATATGACGTATGTCCTGTATTTGGCCCAAGTGTTCAAGTGAGCATGAAGACCACACGTGTGTGTCGAACTTTTCATTACCTGATGGGACACACTTGTAGTGTGGTAAAAATGCAAGTGTTTAGCTTTATTTTAATTTTAAATACTTTGCATTTTAAAACAACTTCTAAATGTCTGTTCAGTAGTTCCTATAACATGACAATTTTAATTTGTGGTGCTTCTAATTAAGTGATAAAAAGCAGTTGCAAATGTTGTACAAAATAAATATCACCACTACTCATCGTTGCACCAAAAAAACGTAAAAACACTGTTTTTCTACTAAATTATATGTAATATCTAATTATTATATTAATTTTTTAACTTGCATTGGAAAGGTTTCCGTGACCTCTCGCGAGATCTCGGCAAAAAGTCTCACGATTTATTTCCAGAACATGATGCATGATGGGATACACTAAGCCTCGAATAGTGCTACGGAGCGGTATTCGAGATAGTGTGGGTTTAGTGTGCGTTAAGGGCACTGCGCCTCAAGTGGCCAAGACCGCAAGTGTGGGTATTTGGACGGTAAGGGTAAGGGGACGGTTTCTCTTACCGAAACGTCATCTGTGGTTTGCATCAGCACTCGAAGAGTCCTGAAAGTCGCAATAAAGAGACGTTCTGATCATTTTTAATACCATATTCTTGCATTCTTGAGATAGTATATTTGTGTACTACCTGAGCTCGGTCTTGATCTTCTCGTAGTCCTGCTGGGACTGTAACTTGGCCTGAAGTCTCTAACGAACAGACGGGACGTTAGTGAGAGTAAACGAGTCAACTGTTCCTTTAATAGCCGCTCCTCATTATGAAATGTTTCTACCTCTATATGCTGTGCTTTATTGGCCAGTTGCTGTTGCAGCAGAGCGACGTGATTGGCCGTTCGCTCCTGGACTTCCTGCAGCAGATGCTGAAGTCGTCGCACTTCCTGTTCCAGACGCTGAATGTGACGGTCTCTCATCGCAACCATCGCCGCCAAATCGGCAGAGCTACAAATCAGACGAAATTCATTACCATCTTCAATTAAATCAAAGAACTAAAATCTTAAGACAAACTTTTTTTATCTGGTAGTATATTTACATTTTATATCTATTAACATGTATATAGTACATTTTATATTTAACAATATATTCAGTGTCTACATTTTGTAATTTTTTTTACATAAGTATATTTAAAGTTTAAATTTAGCAATATATTTGCATTTATGTTTAGTAGCATTTGTATATATTATATTTAGCAATATTTTAAGTATATTTACATTTATATTAAGATATTTAAAATTAATTCTATTTACATTTATATGGAGTAAATTTTACATTTAGTATATTTAGGTTTAGTAGAGTATGTAGTACATTTATATTTACTTATACCTACAGTTTTTCTCGATTGCTTAAACACATTTCTTGAAACTATGCCTCGTATTCTCAAAACTGTAAACACAAATCCATAACGTCTCACCCAACTCCCCAAACATCCTATTTTCAGGTCAAAATGAAGCTCTACACTCAAAACCATTCACTCTTGCTGAAAAACAAACTTTTCCTTCAGACATCACACACACACGCTTTCAAAAACACACACACACACAAACAACATAGTATTACACACTGGTGCAATAAATTCAAAACAATATATCCAAAACTGGTAGCTCATGTTGCTTGTGCTTCTCCCCCTCAAAAACCTTTTCACATGAACACAGAAGACACAACCAATGTATACATTGGCACATTTTTATTCATTGATGTACTACACTGCATAACTGTAAAAAAAAAAAAAAAAAAAAAAATTTTCCCCCCACCCCCCCTTTTTTTTTTGGTCAACTAAAGTGGCTCGAATTTCATCTGAGACTGCTTGTCTCCTTACCCTTCTTCTCCCTCCTCCTCCTTCACCACGTCGTCCTCCTCCTCCACGTCCTTCTTCACCACGTCCTCCTCCTGCTCCTCCTTCTTCACCACGTCCTCCTTCACCACGTCGTCCTCCTCCTCCACGTCCTTCTTCACCACGTCCTCCTCCTCCTTCACCCCGTCCTCCTCCTCCTTCACCCCGTCCTCCTCCTCCTCCACCACCATCACGTCCTCCTCCTCCACCTATTCCTTCATTTCTCTGTGGATCCATTGTTCCACAGCTCAGTGAACGGATTCGGGCCCTTTTATCCATTTATTAAAGGATCTGATTGATGAGTGTTCTATTTTGACTCTTAGTGTTTCCACCTGGGTAATTGTTTGCGAATTGAGCTCAAGCGGTGCTGACTTGAGTGAACAGTATTGAATGCTAGTGCTTTCTAAATGACCACATGGTGTAAGCACTGAGAAATGTAGGGATTTGTGTGTAGAGTTTTGCAGTAACAGTTCACCAAATCTGACTCATGTGTTAAAGCAGGGGAATAGTGTTTATAGTTCAGCAAAATGGGTGTGCTTTTTGAAAAAAAAAAAAATGGCATTATGGTTTTGAAATTTTAGTTCAAAAGCCTGATTATAGTGTTTTAGCAATCGAGAAAAACTGTAATTTACATTTATATTTAGTAATATAATTTACATTTAAAATTTACTTGCACTTCTATTTAGTATGTTTACATAAATTTTTTGGTATTATATTTACATTAAAAATTATTTGTGTTTATATTTAGAAGAATGATACATTGTTAAATGATACATTCTACTTGTTTGTTGTTGCATACTGTTTCACTTTTATTACTATTGAGTAGTGTGCAGTATTCCATTCCAAACATAATTCATATATCATTACATTTTCATATCCAATATGTTGTCATCGGTTTATGATCCCATGCTAAATTCAAATGCATATCTGAACTACATCTGAAATCTGTTTTCGTCAGCAGCTTTAATGAGGATGTTTGAGCGGCACAGATGACATATTGATTGTCTCTATTGGTTTTATTGATCGTGATGATTGATTTGAAGCTCACAGGACACAGTATTGATTTCTGCACAGCCGGAGGAATATAAAGAAAGACCCAGAAACCAGACCCCATCATTTACAACAGTTTAGCACAGTTTAGTGCTAGCAGAAAATTACATTCACATGAAATATAATAAAACCGACAATGATTTTCAGACACATCTGTTATAATGCGGGTCCTGAGATGGTTGAACAGAAGAAAACAAAAACATTCGATTTTTTATTAAATATAACTATGATTTCATCAGTTGGATATGAACTGAGAAATTTATGATAACAATCTGACATGCACAAATGTTTTTCATATATGCATATATTACGTGTAGTTATGAAAATACAACCACTTTAATATGTGCATATTTTACTATTTAAACATATTCTCACGGTTTGTTTTCTGCTGAATTGTTTAATTACTGACAGGAAAAACGATCTCTCCTTCTGAACAAAGAAAATTTTGCACACCAGTCCACCTCAAAACCAAAAGCAGTCCTCTCACGGATCGATAACTGATCAATAATCAATAACAGGCCTCAAATGAGCCATCCATCCATCTATGTAGTTTATTTGAGTATCATTGATATATCATAATAAGATTTATTAATATTTTGAATCTGTTTTTATTTTTGTATTTGTATATTTTTATACAAAGTTTAGTCATTTTGTTGTGTGTTTTTTGTCGTTTTAAGCAGTTTTGGAGGGTTTTCATATACAGGTGCATCTAAAAACTAAATTTGAATATCGTGAAAAGTTCATTTTTTTGTAACTTATTTCAAAAAGTGAAACTTTCATATATTTCATATATTCTAGAATAGAAATTCTAGATTCTATTCTAGAACCAAAATCAGAATTGTGAGAGATAAAGTCGCAAATTACCTTTTTATTTTTTATTCTGGTGGAAACAAAAAACAGAATTGCAATATGTAAACTTGTGAAGAAAAACAGAATTTTTTCCTCAGAATTCTGAATTTATATCTCTCAACTCTGTTCTTTTTTTTTTGAAAGAACTGCTAGAAAAAAGTCAGAATTGTGAGATAAAATGTTGGAACTATCTTTTTTATTTTTTATTTAGTGGCGGAATTTAAGAAAAAAAACATTTGCAAGAGGTAAGCTGCGAGCGAGAATTCTACATTTAATTGATCTCAGAATTGTTAGAAACAAAGTCCGAATTGTGAGATGAAAAACCTTTTATATTTAATTCCGTGACCAATTTCCATACATTCCAGCACGATGCAAGTTAATGAGGCCTAGGAGCTTAAGAGGCATCTTCACTTCAATTCTGAATGATGCTCAATGCGTTATTATATGAATTTCTGAAAGAAAGCAGAAAATGGAACAAATGTAGAAATCGTGTGAATGCTACGGCTACTTTAACTTTCCTGAGCTCTGATACAAACCCTGAAATAACCTCCAGAGGAAGAGAGGTGCATCATTAAACAGCTGACCGCTTCTTCCATGCGTCCTGTCATTCTAAACCACATCACAATGGACCTTGAGCCGCGTGTGTCTGTGTCTGAGGGATCATCATCTACCTGTCACTTCCTAAACAGGGCATGTGTTATTTATATCGGCCAGTAGACAACAGCGTGCTTAATCTACAAAAGGCCGTTCCTCCGCGCCCCAATGTCCGGCTGCACTCGGGATCTCCTCCGTCCAGCAGCGCTCATGGTGAGTAACACCGGCTTCACCGGGATTTAGAGATGCTTCGTGAACCACCCGGACATTTGATTGAGCCAGATTTTAATTAGAGATCAACCGATATATCGGCCAGCGCCATTAATCGGCCGGACCATTTTGAGATGATATTTGACCATTTTGTGTAACCTCCAAAATAATATTATTTTCCATAATATCCATAGTCCTAATGTGCTTTTTTTTTTTTTTTCAAATTTTTTTTTTGTAGTTTAATATTGAGTTCATTTAATAGTTAGCACCTCATTTGATGCGTTAATCTTTTTAAAATATTTAATATAAGAGCTGAAGCAATGCAAATCTAATTAAAATAATCAAGGTAGATTATCCCACTGTTTTTTCCACCTAAATTAATACAAATAATAACCATATTTAAACATTCTCATTTTAGGCTCCAATATTAAAAATATTTAACAAACAGCTATATTTAGCTACATGTTTTTTTTTTTGCTAAAATTAATGTTATGAAAAATGCAAAAATATAAGTAAAATAAAATTATAATTTCAAAGTTGGAGCACAAAAAAACAATTTCAGTCTTTCTTCTTCAAAATGTCATGTTTAAGTTACGTTTAATTACCATTTCTTAGTAATTAATCGGGAAATTTACTAGCAATTGCTAAGTGAAAAATATTATTTACATTACATTCCTATAAGTGTGTCCTGGCAGAAAATCACAAGTACATTTTCTGTTCAATTTACTTAGGCCTACATTTACTTTAATCTTAAAATTTGCGATTTGTATTTCTAAATATTTGTAAAACACTTGTGAAAATGTCTTTTTTCAGATTAACATGCAAACTGGGTCTTATTTGTTTTTACAAATGTTCTTAAAGTGTGTCTAAGGCGTTTGAGTGATGCTTCAGATGAATCTCTGAATCTGCGTTTTTAATTGATTCATTCAGAGTTTGAGCTGATTCATGCAAGTGAATCAAACTTTAAAGCAGCTTTTCTTAGTTAAGCTTGAATAAGAAGGGAAAAACTAGTTCTTTAGGAAACTGCTCGAGACGTGTCTAACTAAAGAAGACCTGAACGTTTGTTTTTCAGGCACCAAAGAAAGCAAAGAAGAGGACGGCAGAAGGAGCGAACTCCAACGTCTTCTCTATGTTTGAACAGGCTCAGATCCAGGAGTTTAAGGAGGTCTGATCACTTACCGTCATGTCTGTCTCTGTCTCACCTTGACCAGCATCCTTACAGGAATAGTTCATCTAAATTAATATTCTGTCATCATGTATGACTTACAGAGAGGCTGTCAGAATCCAAAAAAGACTAAAAACATTAGCACATAAAAGTTTCATGATATGAAATTTCATGCCCTCTGTCTTATGATGCTTTGTGTGAGGAACAGACCCAAATTTATGTTGTTATTCACATATATAAAATCATATATACATTTTCTATAGAATTGTATTAGAATATTAGAAATGTTATAGGCCTATTAATTTTTTTTTTTTAAATATATAGATTATAAATAATAGCAATATATATATCGTACAATATTATTTTATTTAATCCAGTTTTTTCAAAAAAACATGTTTTATATATAACTGTAAAATGGCAGATGTGTCAAAATTATATCAATTAAAATTCAAAATTATATAAAATAAAACTACACACACACACACACACACACACACACACACACACACACATATAGTATTTATTTTATATAATTTATATAACTTCTTAAGGATTTTTTTAAATATAGGTTTATATATATATATATATATTAGTGCTGTCAATAGATTAATCGCATCCAAAACAAAAAATTTTGTTTACATAATATATGTGTGTGTACTGTGTATATTTATTATGTGTGTGTGTGTGTTATTTTTAAGAGGAAAAAACTGCATTTTTATACCATTATATTAACACAAAACCTTTTTATTTTATGTATTCTTATATATTTCATATACTTATTTTACATTTTACATGTTTTATTTTAATTATATATATATATATATATATAGTATTATTTTATTTATATACTGTATATATATATATATTTTTTTTTTTTTATATTTTTGTTTAAATAGCTTTAAACATTTAAACAGGAAATAACTTTTTTTTTAAATAATTTTTAATATATTTGGATAAAAACGTATTTTATTTGTTTACCTAATTTGTTTTAATTATATTAATAATTATATATAATTTAATAATTTATTTAATGAATATATATTGTATTATTTTATGTTTTATCATTTTTTTAAATGTTTAAAAAAAATAGTTAAATAGTTGAATTAGAGGAAATAACTAAAAAAAAAATTCTAATATATATGGGTAAAAACTCTGATTTAAAAACTCTGATATAGCCACTTTTATTTTATATATTTCTGTATATTTTATATACTTTATATGCACATATATGCTTATATATATATATATATATGCTTATATATGTATACATATATAAATATAATGTTTTTATTTATTTAATTCTTTAAGATTTTTAAAAATATGTATATATATATATAATAGTAAAAATCATAGGAAATATAAAACAGAAATAGGACTCAAAAGCTCAGATTCGGTCAAGTTTAATTGCAGCTTGTGAGCTAGCACATGTGTTGAATCACATTTCCCATCATGCTCCTCTTCTGTCTGGTAACAGGCCGGCTCAACGTGAAGCAGGAGGAGATTGATGAGATGCTGAAGGAGGCGTCGGGCCCGATCAACTTCACCGTCTTCCTCACCATGTTCGGAGAGAAACTCAAAGGCAAGTTTTCAAGCGATGAGACATTGATCTTGAACATTGAAAAGCAAGTTTACTGCATTAAAAATCAATTGTGAGATACAAAGTTGCTGCCTGCATAGAAGATGGTGATGTTTTGTGCAGGCCTTTTATTGCTAAACTAATCTGTGAGTCAGAGAGTTTGATGGAGGTTTGTTTGATCGCAGGAGCCGATCCGGAGGAAACCATCCTCAACGCCTTCAAAGTGTTCGATCCCGAGGGGAAGGGAATCCTGAAGAAGGAATAGTAAGATGTTCAGTGCATTATCCAAGCTGTTTTAGCTCGGAAACACAAACACTTGACCATTATTGTTTTGTCTTGTGAATAACATGCATATGAAAGAAACAAATTAACCCTCATAATGCATTTGGGTCAGTTTTGACCCAGTAGAAATACATAAAAATGTAAAAAAAAAAAAAAAATGCTTTTAAGACCCTCAAAATACACATCATAAATTTTTTTCAGATTTTTTTACAATTATTTTTTAAGACATATAAGCATTTTAAAAATGCTTTCACATTTCGTGTTCAGATCATTTTTGACCCGGATATGTATGGAGCACCATAGGTGTCAAAAACACTTTTATTAAATTATCTATCAAATTAAATTAGTGTCAAAAATGTTTGTAAAATATATTTGAGCCTTTTCCTCATATCTCACACACTTTAGGAACTGAATTTTGTTGCGAAACATGAATACGTATGTCTATTGAAGAAGCAATGCGGCATGAAAAATTGATCTCTTTTTTCATCTGAAAGTAAAGTAAAATAAACTTCTGTGTTTAAGCAATACTTTGCATTTTCACTATAAATAACCATTATTCCTTTTCTTATCAGTTTTATTTTAGTATCATTTATATTTTCTGTTAATATTTTGAATTTAGCTTAAGAAGTTTTGTCATATTTATTTAATAATATTTATTATACATATTTCTAGTAATAATTATATTTATTATATTTGATCATTATTATATTTTATACTACGTTTATATTAATTTTGTTTATTTCAGTTTTAGTTAGGCTATTTTAGTACTAAACTAGTCAGTTTAAACTAAATGAAAATTAGAAGACTGAAATAAAAGAAGTAAAATGAAATATATTTATGTTGTTTTGACGTTGTTTCATGGGAAGAAAATATGTAGGTTTCATCAATTTCATTGAATCCGATGGAATTAATACTGGAAATCTCAGATTTTATATTCTTATAATTTCTTACAGTAATATATTCAATCAAGACGTAATTTTATATCATTTTTATAATGTAAAATATAATTATAATATCCAATTTTTGTTTTGGTGTTGTTCATGTGCAGTTTGAAAATTCAAAGAATTTAAAATAATATGTAATAAATAATATGTAAAAATGTAATAATCATTATATATTATTATATATATATATAATAAAGATTTGTGTGTGTGTATGTATGCATATATATATAAAATAAATTTTTTTAATGCATTATGAGGGTTGACACTTATTAAGAAAGTGTGTTTTCCGTGTGTTTTTGATGCGTCTCTCCAGTATTACTGAGATGCTGACCACGCAGGCCGACCGGTTTTCTGCTGAGGAGGTGAGGCACGTCTCACATGTGTGATGCTTGATGGTTGCCGTGGATACCGTGTCAGCACCACTGACTGCCGTGTTGTTTCAGATGGAGCAGATGTTCACCGCGTTCCCTCCAGACGCTGCGGGAAACCTGGACTACCACAATCTGGTCCACGTCATCACTCACGGAGAGGAGAAGGACCAGGAATAGTTCACTCGCTCCTCAGCCAATCACAGTGCTCCCTGCGTGTTTGTACCCGCCCACTTGTTTATGACTGACAGGCTTGAAACGGATGTAGTTACTGAAACAAGTATGTTCTGATTTTTTAACGTATGATGATGTTGTGTTGATGTTTGCACCTTTGGCATGAAACCTGCCAGAATTTACTTACAAAAAATATTGTTATTGGTAAATAAATAAATCAATATGAAATACTGATTTGAGTGCAAATGATTTTCTTGTGTGAAAAGGAAATAATTTGATTTGAAAACCATATGTGTTTTTTGTTGACTATCATCAGGCTTTTATGGCTCATATAGTCTGATATAGTGAGAATATGGAGGAAAAAACTGCTCTATTTTATTCAAAAACTCAAACTGAGCTAAATTATGCAATTTGTTACAGATGCTGATATTTATATGATGAAATTCTGATTCTTGTGCTGTAAATCAGTGAGATCTTTAAAATCAGTCAAGATTTGACCGCAGAAAGACTCTGAAGCAGCAGCTGAAGCTGTATGTTTGTACAAATTATACTAAAAGCGATTAATTTTTAACAGATCAGGTTTTAAATGTACTTTTTGGTGACCATACAAACTCTTTTTCCAGGATATGTCCTGTCCAGGATTTCTAAATAGCCTAAAATGTCCGGGTTTTGTTTTCCAGTTGTTTTCAGTGAATATCATTCTATCAGTCACTGAAGTTTGGCTGTGTGTTTGTGTGGGTGTTTTCTATCCCTCAGTGACTCTCAGAACAGGTGGCAGTACTTTTATTTTCTGCTGGGATAAAGTCAAAGCCTGTGCTGTTATTTCTGTGTGCAGCCTGTAATCTAATACAGTCTTAATGTAGCGGCCCGAGACAATGAGCAGCGCTGTCTGATCCAGCGCGCTTTCACGGAAACCTCCGGGTATCTGATGTCTGTCTATATGGCAAGCCGGTTAATATTTAATCCTTAAACCCTTCTAGTATCTATTTTCATGCTATTTTCACTAGTGCATTTTTAAAAATGAGAACTAGTACTTATTCATGATATACTAGTTCTCAGGGGCGGCGCTAAGGGGGCTGAAGCCCCGAATGTTATTACCATGCCCTGTATGCATCATCACTGAGTTTTCATGTGCATTAAAATCATTTCTGTTAGAACCGCAGATTTACTCTCTACACTCCTCTCGTTCGCTCCCATAAAGAACCGCCCATGAGGCTCGTACTTCTGAGCGACATGTAAACTGGCCAACCATCGATAGCTTCAGGTGTTTGTAACTTTCTATTCGATATAATACCGGCCTTGCAATCCTTACAAATTAGGTTATTTGTTACAGAGCACTGTCATTGCGAATATATATATATATAATCAAAGTATATACGCAGTCTTTGGGACGCACACACATGCATTTAGAGCGATTATATGTTTTGTTAGCATGGTCTGTGGCAGACTTTTCTTCGTGTCAGGGCAATAATTCAATAAACAAGAAGTAAATATAAGCGGCTTAAATTGTAGAGACAATGAATATTGTGTTTTGCTCTATTTCACTAAAATGGTTCCAAACAAAGCCATGTTGTGCATCTCTAGCAGGTTCCATACTGAATGAATTTGCGTTTTTGAACGAATCGAGTGAGTCAGTGATCCACTGATCCATTCATAAAAAGTTTATTACTTCGTTCCTGAATGAATCAGCCGTTTTGAAAGAGTTGATTGAATAAATGACTCAAAGACTCATTAAGACAGTGGCTTGCCACCACCTACTGGCATTTTTTGTTTTTATCTCATAACATTATTTATGCAATATGTGCAGTGTAAATGCATTTACAAGTGCTAAAAAATAAGTGTATAGAGGCTCTATATTAGAGCCCTGCATGTTTAATTAGGCTAAACTTGGCTTTTTTAAAATAAAAAATAAAAATAAAGGCACTTTGCCAAAGCAGAATTTAAACATATATATATAAATAGTACAAGAATCGAACAAAAAGTTATAGTATTTAATAAATAAGTACTAGTAACTAATGGATACTTACTAGAAATATTTAAAAAGACACTAGGCACTATTAGAATAACTACTAGTTTGTAATAAATAAGAACTTGTATCTAATGAATAAGTACCAGTATCTTTAACAAGTTACTAGTACCTAAGAATAAGCACTTGTAGCTAAAGAATAAGCACTAGTAGTTAATGAATAAGTACTAGTACTTCATGTCATAAATACTAGTAGCTAAACAAATCTAAGTACTAGTAGCATGAATACTAGTATGTTTTAAGGATTGAATGTTAAAACAGCTTGCCATACGCTGATCATCTCTCAGCACCGCTGCTCGGGTCATGACTGCCAAAGATGAGGGAGTTGTGTTAGTGATGTTTGCTGTTCTATTAAACACACACATAAACATGTAACTCAAGAATTCCTGTGTCTGACGTGCTCCTCTTCTAGTCATTGTGTGTTAGCTGTAGTGTTAATCCAGGGTCTGGATGGGCTGGTATTGTTGGTAACAGACTGGAAACATTAGTTAATGCGCTGTGAATGAACATGAACTAACTTTGAACAACTGTATTTTCATTAACTAATATTAACAAAGATTAATAAATACTGTAATAAATGTATTGTTCATTGTTTGTTACATTAACTAACATTAACTAATGGAACCTTATTGTAAAGTGTTACCAAAGTGTTTAATTAACATTCAGCGTCACACACATTATTGTGAAATTCAGCTGCGCTTCCTCCCATTTCCTCCACCCTATTTTTCCTCGTTCGTGCAGCTGTGCTGTATTCATCCGCCCGCTGGTTTCCAGCAGCTGTGCTGCACTGCTGTTGCTGCATGCGTGTATCCTTCCGCAGAGCCGGTGTGCCTCCGCCGCAGCACGCGCATCTTACAGCTCGCTCCAAGCCGAGACCTTATATCTTTTGCTTAGAGTTTCCAGTGACAAATCTGTTTATTTTCATTTTATTTGACGTGTCCGGTGTGTTTGGAGTAGTCATGGCTGACATCGACAAACTCAACATAGACAGCATCATTCAGCGTTTGCTCGAGGGTGAGTTTCACGTCAAGAAATGGCTAAAATGTCCTTATAATAGGATAACCGATTTAAAAATGATTTTTTTTGTAGCATATGGATATGCATATGACTGATTTATCAGCTATCTGGGTCGTGTTTAGAGCTGTTGAGCTAAGCTAACACGGTTAGCAGAGCGTTAAATGCAAAATACACAATATAATGCTGACAGTGTGATATTAAACACAGCTTTGACCGTTCAGAGCACTTGTTAAGCTCCCACATTCGTTAAAAATGGCAGAAATGGAAATGTCAAAATTGTCCAGGCCTAGTTGATGTGCATGTATATTTTTATCTATTTCAGCTCAGATGTCATTTATCTTTGAGAGTGTAATCTTTATAAAATTATTATATATTTTTTTGCAGTGAAGATGTGAGAACCCAGTTTGAATGGACTGAAATAATTTCAAAAACATGACACAAACTCATTTAGTTATTATATGTATATTTTATTTTCTACTATAAGTTTATTATGCAAGTGAATGTTTTATGATGTTATTGCTTTATTGTATGCATTATAATAAAGCAATAAAAGACTTAACTAGAGTGATTATGCACAACTTTTATTGTTGCGTTGTATACAGTGTAATGCAAATTCTTGGTTAATGATAAATGTATTTGCGTAACTCACTGCTGGTTTCGGTTTGTGCAGAATTTTTATATGCAGAGCAGTTTATCATCGCTCATCTAATGTTTTAGCTGGATGCTTTGACTCGTATAGATGCAATGAGTTCTTCCAGGTGTGTTTTATGTGTTAACTTTTTATTTATTCATCACCGAGGGGCTAAAGGCCCCTAGCAGTTTATTTAGCAGTGACGTCAACACAAGACTGTATTTGTATACATTGAAGTCTGTCAAATAAACTTGCTTTTGTCATCTTAGGATTGTTTCTAGAGGTCGACCGATAGTGGATTTTGCCGATACC